AGTCTGGGAACGTCCAGCTGGCAGCTCTCAATCAAGCCGCTCTTTATCTCCATGTTCAGCTGGGCGGAGCTGCGAGCAGATCGAGCATCCGTCAGGTCCAGGACGGTCTGGATGCTGAATTTCGGCGTCTTACTGAAAGTCCAGTCCCAGGATCGAAGCTCCGCCTCCATCCGGCTGAGACCAGGAAACGCAGCCTCGTCAGCGGGGTTAACAAGCGTTGATGCAGCGCTGAAGCCGAACTCTGAGCACACAAAGAACATTTGAAAACTACAAATCAGATATGAAGACCTCAGTCCTGTCTTTGACCCCTCCCCTCAGTGATGTCACGATGCACAGACCCGCCTCCCTTAAGTACACCTTTACTTCACCTTTGAAAGGTGAGAACTCCAACCAGGAGAAACGAGATCTTTAGTTTGTTTTTATTTAATTAAACATTTAGTTTCTTTTGCTGTAGTTCCCGTGTTAGAGCAGCAGAGGGCAGCGTTCACCTCTGAGGATTCATCTTAAATATGGACTCAGGTGGTTTACCTGTGTTGTACTGGTGCTCCAGTGCGTCCAGCAGCTCCTCCCACTGCAGCGTGGGGGCGTGGTCAACCAGGTTGGCGACAGGTGAGGGGACGCTGGGCGTGGCGTTGCTAAGGATACCGGGACAAGATGGGCGGAGCGAGGCAGAGAGGGTGGAGCGGTCAGCAGAGTGCAGCAGGGTGCAGTGATGGTAAGACGACTTCCTGCTCAGTCTGGACGCACTTCCTGGAAAAATAAAAAACAACAACAACAAATAAACATCAGATCACACAACAAAGAGATGTTTGTTTATAAACAAACACACGTGTCCTACCTGAGATCTTCAGGTGTCCGTTGAGTAAGATGTCAAATCTCTCGGTGGCCTTGACGTCGAGTTCCGGTCTGATCCTCCTCAGAGCGTCTGTGACGACCTTCAGGTTCCTCTGACGGTCGTACGCCTTTTTGGAGGTGAAGAACGTCAGGTTGAGGTTCCCGAGGTCGTGGTAAACCGTCCCACCGCCGCTCCGCCTGCGAGCCAGGGGGATCCCCGCCTTCCTCATTGCTGGCAGGTTGCACTCGGTCCACGGGTTCTGGTGGCGTCCAATGACCACGGCAGGCTGGTTCCCCCACAGCAGCAGGACGCTACGCTGCTGCAGGTCCAGGTTAGCGTCGATCCAGTCCTCCAGGGCCAGATTCAGGTACACGTCTGTAGACTGAGAGCGAAGGACCAGCCCGCCACTGTCAGACGCCGTAGTGAGGTCACTGAAGGAGGAGGAGCTCCGAGCTGGATTTGTGCTGGTTTGAATCCTGCAAACACCCGAGCAGCCTCTCACAAGAGACAAAGTCCTTCTGATGTGAGACAACATGACGTCTCCTACAGTCGGCGCCGTCACCGCCACATGTTGGACAAACCTGCAGAATTAATAAAATAATCCTTTATTTATCCCTCAACGGGGAAATTTACATTGTTACAGCAGCAAAGAGACAAAAAGTGAACACAGAACAATTTAAAAAAAGAAAAGAAAAATTAAGAATGTACAAAAAATAGATTAAAAAATAAATAAATAAATAATCAATTAAATTAAATGAAAATTAATAATAATAATATAATAATAAAATAATAATAAATAATAATAAAATAATAAATAAAATATCAAATATCAAAACATAAAAAATTAAATAAAATTAAAAATTAATAAATTAAAAATTAAATTAAAAATTAAAAACAACACACCTGAGAACAACATCCAGAGAAGTTTTGAAAAAAGAGAGCTAACTTAAAGGAGAAGAGATCTTAATTAATCTGAATGAATACAAACAATAAATAAATATGAACAGATAAAACAGAAACATCTTTCAAACACATAAAACTTTTTATAATATAAATAAAATAACAGTTTATAATATAAGATTACATCATTTTTTAAAAGCATCAACCTTAAATCTGTAGGAAACATCTGTACGTTCATTTATTTAAAATATAGTTTAATAGTGTCCTGTATGACGTCACTGACTCATCCTTCTCCAACTGTCCTACAGTGAGCTAGCTTACCTGTGTTTGTTAGCTTTAGCATTAGCATGAACTCCGCCGTGACTTCCGCTGTCGAAGATTAAATAAATAAAAAACTTTATTTAGATTCTTTAATTTAAATTAAATCAGCTGATCAACAGTCTGATCTTTAATATCAATTTATAAAATACACATCTTTAGTCTCGTGCTGACCTGAACGAACGAGAGAGCGCGAGCGGACCGGATACAAATATTATGACAGACAACTTCCGCTTTGTCCTTTCAAAATAATACACAGCTTCTTTTTCACGCAAAGTTCAGATTCCAGACTGAAATGTAAATAAAATATTTTAGGCTTTCAGTGTTTAAGACATAAAGATAATAACAAATATTTGACAAATTAAATAAAAATTACCCAAATACGAGTTTGAAAATATAAAAGCAAAGTTAAAAGTTCAGATTTCTGTAATAATTGTGATTAATTTAGATTAACATCAACGCAATAAATAATCGTTAGTTTATTATTAGCTCTTTACATTTAGTTCAGTTTCACCTTCAAGGAAAATGGCTTTAAAAAACTTTTTTTAAGGGTTATTCGCGTTTATCGTTCTTACTTCCGGTTTCATTTTGTGTAACTTGACTTTTGGCTCTGACCTCGGTCCGTCTCTGTAAAGATACCGCTACTCTTCAAAGGTTCCGCTGTGAATAATAAATTAATAGACTTTTATAAAATGTATTTAACGATTTAATTAAAAATTTAAAATAATTCCAGGAATGATCGATTTTAAGAAAATAAAACACAAAATGCAAATATGATATAAAAAAAAAGACTACACATGAAATCAATCAATTAAAACTTTATTAAAAAAGAGCTTTGTTGTCTCGGCTTCCAGGCTGACTGGCCTCTTTCATCGTCTGTGTTTCTTCCTGTGCTACGTTATCATATATGTAAACCTGAGAATCAAATGTGCAAAGCTGTGACAACAAATGTCCCCCTGGAGGTCAATAAAGTATTTCACAGTATTCTACTTAAAGTTTATAAAAACTGGATTTACTTCAGATTTCATTTTGTTTGTTTGTTTTATTTCATGTTTCTTTGTTTGAGTTCTTCTCTCATCGATCGCTGAAATCATCGTCACAGTGAGGAAGAAGCAGAGAGTCTGAAGAGGCGACCAGAGAGAGGAAGAAGAACATGTGACCACATCCTGACAACACACAGACACACACAGACACACACACACACACACACACACACACACACACACACACACACTCTCTATCAGTCAGTCGGAGTCGATGATGTTTCAGGTGAGACCTTCTTTCATTCGCTGTCAGCTTTTCAAACATTCTGATTCTTTGCTATGAGCTCTTTGTTTATTTGAAAGTCGTAAAGCATCAAACCTTTTTAAAGGAACTTGATGTGTTTGGTAGGACAGGTGCAGAGGAGACGAGTGAATCACCTGCACACTGTCAGAGCTGCACTGACATACGCAGATGTTTTTGTGCAGCGTGCCGGTGACACTCGTAACTTCTGATAACAAAAACAATATTGTGTTCTTAGATTTGAATGGTGTTGCTCAGGTTTAAACAGGCGGGAGAGAGAGATGATCTTCTTCTTCTCCTCAACTTTAAAACTGACTTTTTATTTCAGCGCTTCGTCTCACTGAAGAGGAAACACAAAGAACTGAATTTAAATCATGACTCAGACTTCAAATTTAAAACAAACGTGTCACAGGAAGCCGAGTTTGAATCATCTCAGGGTGTCAATTCTTAGAAGTGATGTCTTATCTCACACTCAGTCATACCAACACACCACACACACACACACCCAGCTGCTGTGTGTGTGTGTGTGTGTGTGTGTGAGTGAGGACTGGTGGAAGTGGAATCCTGCTCTAAAGATAAATCCCTTCTTTAAGTTTTCTCTGCACTTCATGTTTTGAATGATCGTCCTCGTTTAAACGTCTTTAACTCTTTTATTGTCTCATCACACACTCTGCTCGTCTCTCCCTCAGGGACCCTCCCATCACCTCGAGCCTCAGACCCAACTGTCCTCATTTCCTCACCTCCCCCACCCTCAGGTTGCCCCCCCTCACCTCTTCCCTAATCCCCAGGTAACCTCCCCTCATTATACGTCTCAAACACCGGCGCCCCCTCCTTACCTCTCCTCCCCTCTGCTCCCCCCTCCTCCGGTGACCCCGCCTCATTTTCAAGCCCAGCCTCAGGTGACCTCCCCTCACCTCCTCTCCTCACCCCAGCTGCACTTTTCTAATCAAAGTCTTCATCCAGGTTTTGATCCCTGGAGCAGATCTGACCCTCCTGAAGCGTCTTACCTGCAGCAGAGCTTCAGCTTCCAGGTGAGATCTTCATCTTTTCTAATCCAATAAAAAAATATAAACCTGCTGCTCTTCTGACTTCAATCTTTTGTTTCAGAGCCAGTTCAGTGCAGGTCTGACTCGTGATGATCTCCCTGACTGTGGAGCGTACAGACAGGTGGACACACCTGGTCTGACTCAGGACCCCTGGGGGTCTCTGGGCTCCACTCTGCCCCAGTACGAGTGCTCTCCTCTGGGCTGCCCGACCGGAGGACTCAACTCAGGATGGAGCTCCGCAGAGTTCAGCTCATCACCGTCTGGAGACTTCAACCACTTTTACCAAGACAGTTACCATGACAACAGCGCTGCCCAGCCCTTCTGTAGTCCAAACACGCCCGGTCCAAGTCCTCATTACCCACAAACCCCGACTATCTCCAGCCCCAGTCCTCAGGTGCACCCCAGGGAAGAGAGACTAGACTTTAACCCACAAACCTTCAGCTGCTTTTTACAAGAATGTGACACCTTACCTTTGACCTCTGACCCCTATCACTCCGGACAACACCTGAACCAGAACCAGACTGAGCTGCTTCAGACCGTCCTCCTCCAGACCTCCAGGACCTCAGAGAGCTGCTTCTCTCCACAGGGACGAGGGCAGGATGTGAGGACCGTCGCCGGGCCGAACTGGAGAGACGAGAGAGGAGGACGAGGAGGAAAAAGAGGAAGAGGAAGAGGAGAGGGAGCAGGAGGAGGAAGAGGAGAGGGAGCAGGAGGAGGAAGAGGAGAGGGAGCAGGAGGAGGAAGAGGAAGAGGAGAGGGAGCAGGAGGAGGAAGAGGAAGAGGAGAGGGAGCAGGAGGAGGAAGAGGAAGAGGAGGAGGAAGAGGAGGAAGAGGAGGAAGAGGAGGAAGAGGAGGAAGAGGAGGAGGTCAAACAGAGGGGACAACGGTGTGTTTGATTCACTAAAGATATTAACGTAGTGCTTCATGTGTCGCTGTGTAAGCTGCTCTGTTAGTGTTTCCTGCCGGTCAGATGGAGGACGATGTTAAAGTGTGAAATAAATGTTTCTCTGTTTTCAGATTCAACATGAAATCATCACAAAGGTTATAAACTCCAGGTAACCACAATAATACTTTAAGAAGTGAAGAATTATGATGTTTATGTTCTCCTCACAGCAGGATTCACTGTGTGTGTGTGTGTGTGTGTTACAGGATGCTGTGTACGGTGTGTAAACGTGATTTCAGGAGTCTGCCGGCTCTAAACGGACACATGCGCTCTCACAGCGGCTCCAGAGCAGCAGCAGCGACGAACAAGGTGAATATAAATTATAAATATTTTTTATTAAACGACACGTGTGACCCGACGATCTGACCTAAAATGTGTCAGTTTACCTCGAGGGCCTGAAACACCGCCCCCTTGTGGTAAAAAGGCTTTCCCCTCCTTTTTTCTTCATTTTAGGCTGAGGACTCCTCCGTGTTGGAGAATCCCTCCGTTGCCATGGTGATGCCTGTCTCCATGCCTGTCCAATCGGGCGCAGCGTTGAAGACGTGCAGGGCCGGACAGAGGGCGTGCAGTCGCCTCTCTCCCGCCACAGGAGGCGCTGTGCTGTACCGCAGTCTGTTAAAACAAGACAAACAGGACGCAGCGGTCAGGGGTGATGATGAAGGCGTTCACTACACCCCTCCCCCGATGCTGTGTCCCCTCAGGGCGGGGCCGGGGCTGTTCTGCTCCCTCACCACCAGGGGGCAGCAGAGAGCACACAGTGAGTAAAACACATCAGAAACAAACTGAGAAGTGCTGCGAGCCACACCTCCTTTCTCTGATTGGCAGGTGGACTCAGTGATGCCGTTGCCAAGGAGACAGCATCTCTGCCTCCAGGAACAATGATGTCAGGAAACAACACGGGGTACGTAAATTTAACCTCTGAATGAATCATCGCTCTGATCACCTGTTCACACCGAGCTGTCAATCACAGGAGGATCAATGTGGGGCGGAGCTTCCAGGCGGAAATCCCGCCTCTACGCCGACCGAGGGGTGCTCACTCCGACTCCCATAATGCACTGCAGCTGTGGACGCCTGTAGAGGAGCTGGAGCATCCTGAGAGTCAGCGGAGAGGTAGGACACACACACATGTTGTTAGCATGGATCTGATTGGTTGTTTGTTTTTTGATTGACACATCGTCTGTCCAGTTGAAGCTCTGATGATGATGGCATGCTCGAGTGTGATTCCAGGGGGCGGAGCCAGCCCAGAGACCGCCCTTCACGTCCTATCAGAGTGCAGAGGAGACTTCCTGGTAAAATCAAAACAAATAAAATATCTTCAACATTTTGAAGGAGAACTGAAGAATCTAACAGAAATAAAACTTTAGTTTCTGAAACAAACGTTTTGTGTGTTTGTCTCAGTGGACGTTGGAGAGAATGATGTCGACTCCTGAACCCTCAAACAACGAGCTCACACGCCAACAGGAGCAGAGTAAATACATATATATGAGACAGTAAAAATAATAATATTACACTAAAACCTGCAGCACTGACTCTCTGGGTTCACGTTTACTCTGACACTTTGATATTAATGTTATTCATATTTAAAATGAAATATAAATGACTTTTTATTTCTCTTTATATGTCTGTTGAATGTTGTAGGTCGGTGTTGGAGCTCGACTGAGAGGAGGCTGATCGTTAAATCTCTGCAGCTTCATCACAAAGACTTCCAGAAAGTTCACCAAACTGTGAGTGTGTGTTTCTGATGAAACCGTTACACAACATGTGTCCATGTGTCCATGTTACCATGTGTCCATGTCTCCATGTGTCCATGTGTCATGTGTCCATGTGTCCATGTGTCCATGTGTTCATGTGTCCATGTGTCCATGTTCCATGTGTCCATGTTACCATGTGTCCATGTTACCATGTGTTCATGTGTCGATGTTACCATGTGTCGATGTTACCATGTGTTCATGTGTTCATGTGTCCATGTGTCCATGTTACCATGTGTTCATGTTACCATGTGTTCATGTGTCCATGTGTCGATGTTACCATGTGTCCATGTCTCCATGTGTCCATGTGTCCATGTGTTCATGTTCCATGTGTCCATGTTACCATGTGTCCATGTGTCCATGTTACCATGTGTCCATGTGTCCATGTGTCCATGTGTTGATGTTACCATGTGTCCATGTGTCCATGTTACCATGTGTCCATATGTTCATGTTACCATGTGTCCATGTGTCCATGTTACCATGTGTTCATGTTACCATGTGTTCATGTGTCCATGTGTCCATGTGTCCATGTGTCGATGTTACCATGTGTCCATGTGTCCATGTGTCCATGTGTTCATGTGTCCATGTGTCCATGTGTCCATGTTACCATGTGTCCATGTCTCCATGTTACCATGTGTCCATGTGTTGATGTTACCATGTGTTCATGTGTCCATGTTACCATGTGTCCATATGTTCATGTGTCCATGAGTTGATGTTACCATGTGTTCATGTTACCATGTGTCCATATGTTCATGTGTCCATGTGTCGATGTTACCATGTGTTCATGTTACCATGTGTCCATGTGTCCATGTGTTCATATGTCCATGTTACCATGTGTCCATGTGTTCATGTTACCATGTGTCCATGTTACCATGTGTCCATATGTTCATGTGTCCATGTGTTGATGTTACCATGTGTTCATGTTACCATGTGTCCATGTGTTCATATGTCCATGTTACCATGTGTCCATGTGTTCATGTTACCATGTGTCCATGTGTTCATGTTACCATGTGTCCATATGTTCATGTGTCCATGTGTTGATGTTACCATGTGTACATGTTACCATGTGTCCATGTGTTCATATGTCCATGTTACCATGTGTCCATGTGTTCATGTTACCATGTGTCCATGTGTCCATGTGTTCATGTTACCATGTGTCCATATGTTCATGTGTCCATGTGTTGATGTTACCATGTGTTCATGTTACCATGTGTCCATGTGTCCATGTGTTCATATGTCCATGTTACCATGTGTCCATGTGTTCATGTTACCATGTGTCCATGTGTTCATGTTACCATGTGTCCATGTGTTCATGTTACCATGTGTCCATGTGTTCATATGTCCATGTTACCATGTGTCCATGTGTTCATATGTCCATGTTACCATGTGTCCATGTGTTCATGTTACCATGTGTCCATGTGTTCATGTTACCATGTGTCAATGTGTTCATGTGTTCATGTGTTCATGTGTATTTGTTCATGTGTTCATGTGTATTTGTGTGTATTTGTGTGTATTTGTTCATGTGTTCATGTGTATTTGTTCATGTGTTCATGTGTATTTGTGTATTTGTGTGTATTTGTTCATGTGTTCATGTGTATTTGTTCATGTGTTCATGTGTATTTGTGTGTATTTGTTCATGTGTTCATGTGTTCATGTGTTCATGTGTATTTGTGTTCAGGTTCAGACTAAGTCGGTCCCTCAGTGTGTGGAGTTTTATTACCGCTGGAAGAAGAAGCTGAGTCTGAGCACGAGGACCCCCGGCCGACTGACCGTCACGCTGCCCGACACAAAGGTAAGAAAGGTGTTTTAATCAAGATGTAACGTTAGTTAAATCATCTTTATCCACTCCGTCAGGAGTCACTTTAAATGTTCTCACACATCAGTGTTTCAGGTCAGTTTGTTCTCTCAGCGTGAAACGAAACTCAAGACTGAACGAATAAAAACCACTGAAACCAAAAACATGTTACACACACACACACACACACACACACACACACACACACACACACACACACACACACACACACACACACACACACACACACACACACACACACACAACACACACACACACACACACACACACACACACACACACACACACACACACACACACACACACACACAGTCCATTTGAAATGTCAAGCCAGAGTTTGTTCAGAAACCTGTCAGCTCTGACAGGAAGGGTGTGTGCGTGTGTGTGTGTGTGTGTGTGTGTGTGTGTGTGTGTTTCCATCATTGTAGTTTCAACAGTCGATCTTTAATCGTCTTTAATTATTTCACTTTGAGTTACTCATCGATAACCTGATTGTGTGTGTTGCTCTAGGGTCAAAGGTCGTCAAACTCCTATCATGCACGATGAAGCGGTGGAGAGTTTCCTCCTGGAGCTTCACACGAGGACGACGACGATGTGTTTAATAAAAGAATCTTTAGACTGACATCTCTGTAGTGTGTTTGAAGGTTTTTAAACTTTATTCTAAATGAACTTTGTGACCCAGAGTTTCATTTGTGTTCATGTTTCTGTGTTCAGAGATCAGCTCTGAGCTTTTTACCTCTCAGCTTAGGTATGTTGGCATATTGCTTTTCTCCCATAATCCTCTCTGTCCCGGTTTCTTCCTCTCTTCCCTCCGGCTCTGAACGCAACTCGGCTTATAACAAAAACACAGAAGAGCAAAGAAAAGAGAGTGTCAGTCTGCAGCTCTGTTCATCAGAACACGTTTTAAAGGAGCAGTATGTAACTCTGCCCCCTAGTGTTTAAAATGGGTACTGCAGTCTAAATTCTAAACATCATAGAGAGCTGCCCCCCCTCCTCTCTAGAGCACATGCTCACTCAGGTCACCATGTGGTGGACTCTGAAGCTTCAGTGTTTATCCAGCTCTGCATGGGTCTGTAAACCTTTCTGTGTTCTAACCTCTCTCCATTTTTCAAAAGCATCTCCAATATTGATCCTAGTTTGAGCACGTTTCTGCTCGTGGAGCTTATTAGAAACATGCAGAGGCTTTTTAGGTCGGGTACAATCACTTCTATCTGAACCACTTCTCTTGACCCGCTTCCATCGCTGCAACACCTGTTGACCTGATAACTGCTCTCATATCTGGCAAACCGAGGGGCCCCACAGACAGACCACCAGACCACCAGACCACCTGCTAGCTGCAGGTGAGTAGAGACTGGGAGGGGGGCCACCAGCCCCCTAAGGGAGGAACCTCTCCTCCCACAAGACACACAGATTAGTTGTCAGGACCTGGTGTCGGTTGTTGGTGTTGTTATTCTAATCGCTCCTCCCCCGCTGAGTGTTGACATGTGAGTGACAGAGCAACATGGCGGTTCAAAAGAAGAGAAAGGTGGTCAGGGGAAAAGGGTTGGGACCTCTGGTCTCAGGTGGTCTCAGGTGGTCTCAGGTGGTCTCAGGTGGTCTCAGGTGGTCTCAGGTGGTCTCAGGTGTTCTGTGTGCAGTCGACAAATGCCTGAATCAGTGAAACCCAGCACCAAACACGGGGAGTTTTAGTTACATTTAGTTTCCTTTGGGATCTTGAGAATATCTTCATTATTATCAGAATATTACGGACTACACTTTTGTCAAATAGCTGATCTATTTTTTTATTTTTTAAATCTATTTTTTTGTACATTCCTAATTTTTCTTTTTTTATTTAAATTGTTCTGTGTTCACTTTCTGTCTGCAGTCTTTGCTCTTTGCTGCTGTAACACTGTAAATTTCCCCGTTGAGGGATAAATAAAGGATTATTTTATCTTTCTGTTAGATTTCTCTGAGGTATTTATGCTAAGCTAAACTAGCCACATCCTGCAAACTTTAAACACAAATATGAGATCAGTAACAGTTTAAACGTCTCCATTTCTTAAAACTTCAAAACATTCAAGTTGAAAAGTTGTAAAAAAGAGTCTTTTGTCTGTTTTTCTCGTTTGTCATGTTGACTCAGCGTTGAAGTGTTGATTCAGTAAAACAAACAGCACAAACTGAAGTCAACACTTTCTGCTGCTCAGGTGAGTCAGACTCAAGCCTGTCCACATTCTTCTCCTGATCCCGCTTTCTGTGTTTCAAAGCTCTGAGAGTTGCTTCAGGCTACTCATAAAGTTGACTCCGCCCCCTCGCTCCAAAGGTCCTCCTGCCTGTAAACAAGGAGGTCAGACGAGACACAGGAGCGACCAGCGATGGGAGCGCAGGAGGAGGACGCTGCTCCTCCGGTCAGTAAGAAACATCAGAAAACATCCAAAGAAGTTTATTTCTCCGTCCTGCCCGATCGATATGAACCTCTGATCGAAGAGGAGGAGGAGGAGGAGGAGGAGGAGGAGACAGCAGAGGAGAGGAGGAGGAGGAAGGAGGAGAAGAAGAGGAAGAAGAAGAAGAAGTACAAGAAGTACAGGAAGGTAGGAGGACACGCTGACCTTTGACCTGAAGAGGTGTGAGGGAGAACTTAAAGCTCCTGTGGGGGACGTTTAGCGCCCCCCTGTGGACACACTGCTTTATTTATCTCTGCTGATTAATCCTGAACAAGTCTCAAAGATCTCCTCCCTCGCTGTGCGTCCGTCTCAGACGTTCAAAATAAATATAAAGAACTTTATTTAGTCTTGAAGAGGCGTCAGGGTTAACCAGATAAAAACTCTGCATGTTGTAAGCTGTACACGTAGCTGCAGTATTTGGACTTCAGGTGAAGTTACAGCGTTAAACATTGACCCAGCAGGTCGAGCCGTGCACGCCTTATCAGCCGGTAACCACGATAAACACAGACGGAGACAGGAGTGAAGTAGAGGCTCAATTAAAATCATTACCTGCCCTAAGTTTTTACGCCCTGTGTTGTATCTGACAGGATGAGGGTTAATGTATTTAACTTATTTATATATATGTTTTTATGCCCTGTGTTGTATCTGACAGGATGAGGGTTAATGTATTTAACTTATTTATATATGTTTTTATGCCCTGTGTTGTATCTGACAGGATGAGGGTTAATGTATTTAACTTATTTATATATGTGTTTTTATGCCCTGTGTTTTGTCTGACAGGATGAGTGTTAATGTATTTAACTTATTTATATATGTGTTTTTACGCCCTGTGTTTTGTCTGACAGGATGAGTGTTAATGTATTTACCTATATGTTTTTACGCCCTGTGTTTTGTCTGACAGGATGAGGGTTAATGTATTTACCTATATGTTTTTACGCCCTGTGTTTTATCTGACAGGATTAGCGTTAACGTATTTAACTTATTTACCACTGTGTTTTTACGCCCTGTGTTTTGTCTGACAGGATGAGGGTTAATGTATTTACCTCTGTGTTTTTACACCCTGTGTTTTGTCTTGCAGAACGTGGGGAAGGCGCTGCGGTTCAGCTGGCGATGTCTGATGCTCGGTCTGCAGAACATGGCCTCCACTTATTCCACGCCGCTCTCAGCCGTGTCGGTGATGACCGAGGTTCAGCGATCCGCCAGCAGCAAAGCCTGATGGGACATGGAGAGGTCATATGACAGGCCGTTGAAGCTCACGAGGCCAGGGATGTGGACTACGAGCAGGGATGCAAAGACATTACCGTTTTATTTGTATTCTAATAAACGGAAGGACGAGGACAGAATGAATGAAAGCGTTTTATAAAGTTTATATCATCTGTACTTTAAAAAGATTTCTACTTTTGTTTCTTACTTATTAAAAAGTCCTCGTCCTCTATTCTGATAAACTTTCAGTGTTAGACGTTCGATTCTCTCTGACGAGATCACCTTGAGTTTGTTTTATGTCATCATAATCTGTACTTTAACTTTTTGTAAACAGTCACATGTTAGCCTCCTTTATATTCTTTAATATCTTATAATGTGTAGAATAAACTTCAGTTTAAAGTAGACCTGCTGATTCATATTTTTAAAGCGTTACGAATCACGATGTCTGAACTAACGAGGGGAAGTTTCAGGTCATGAGGTACCTGTATGTTGGAGTGATCCCAGGTTAACATACTCAGTGCACTCATGCTGGAAGGTAATCAAGAAGAAAAACACAGTTACAGCAACATACATGCTTTCATATTAAACAATAAAAGTGTTTGAAGGCTTCTACTTCATCCTCTTTTCACGAGAAATACTTTCTTCCCATTTTATCTCACGTTGTGCTGCGTTATGAAAGTTTGTGGAGACTTTTTCTCTCTAAAAAGTGACTTTGCTCTTTATTTTTAATAAAAGCTTCATTCAGATGTTTTCTTGATTGTGCTTTAAATTATGTTTAGTTCTTTTTATGAATGTAACCTGAAGAAGCGACATAAAGTCAACTACATACTCTTCCTTCACATGAATCTGTTGACGATGTAATGGATATTTATTTTGCTTTGTGTACAACTTAAGAAATAAACTCCACGACCCCCTTTTCTAATTAGATTTTTCCTGGAAATAATATAATAATAATGTCTGCCCCCTCAGTGCATAACTAATGTAGGTGTAATATTTAAAACGACCAACAGATGTCGCTTTATCACTGTACTGCGCGCACGCCCATCCTCCATGTCCTTATAAGGAGAAAGGGGGCGGGGTTAGCACTTGTGGATGAAAGTTCACCTTACAGTGAACCCCTTGCTGCCGCTGGCAGGTCACCAACATTCCTGTTGTCAGCAGCAGCTGTTCGCACACACACTGACGGAGCTGACGGAGCTGACGGGACTTGGACCTCTGACAAACAACAAAACAAAATGGGGAGCTCCTGAAAACTATCTTTTCTATTCCTCCAGAACTTTCCTCCTATGACTGCGGGAGTTAAAGACTTGTTTCTGACCTGACAGGTGATGTCTCCGCTCCAGCTGTCCGTCTACTGGCGCCTCTGCCTCATCTTCACCTTCACCTCCTTCCTCTTCTTTCTCGACATTTTCACGGCCGCCATCGTCGCGGCAACTTGTCGCCATGGTAACGGCACCGGCTGGCATGGAGCGTTACCGCCGAACGCTGAGACGAACCAATCACAGCCCGCGGAGACTTTAGAGAGCGAAGGCGATTGGTGGACGGAGAGCGGGAACCCAGACGTGAGTGACGATCACTTTAAGACGTTTATCGGTGATATTCCTGTAACTGAAGCAGATTTATATATTTTAAAGTAAACATAGTCGTTTCTTTGTGTAAAATATTTTAAATATTATATTATTATATATATTTATTCTGTTAAAAAATACACATGAAACAACAGAAAACTACACATTAAATATTTTAAAATATTATATTATTATATATATTCATTGTTAAAAAAAACACATGAAACAACAGAAAACTACACATTAAATATTTTAAAATATTATATTATTATATATATTCATTGTTAAAAAAAACACATGACACAACAGAAAACTACACATTAAATATTTTAAAATATTATATTATTATATATATTTATTCTGTTAAAAAAAACACATTACACAACAGAAAACTACACATTAACTGCAGTGTTAATGTACAACAGGAAGCTGTTAATGCTAACTGTTTCTGTCACCTGTTAAAGGCTAACAACAACATCTATATACAATCTGTTCTGTTAGATTATCCAGGCTCAGATATCTGTGCAAACACATCTGGGTACAGTAGTCTATCTCAGCAGAGATTACAGACAGAGGCATGTTTTCTAATCACGTTAGCTGATGAGCTAGTTATCAGTTACATGACAGTACAGATACAGAAATGAATTAAATGTATTAATAAATGTGATTCTTATAGTTCAAGCCTCCTTTATCTTATTTTTCTTTATAAACATAAGTCATACTTTTTAATTTGCTTTTTAACTGCAAAATATATTTCATCAATTTATTTAAATTCTACATTCTTGTGTTGATTTTCTAACTGTAAAGATTGGTATCATTACCTCCCTATTCCTCAACAAGCAGGAGTTCACCTTTAACATCAATAATTTGAGTTTACAACATGGAAGTAATCTTTGGTGTTCACTGGTCCATAAATAGCTGTAACGCTGTAGCACACCGTGTCTCAGTTTACATTTCTTTGAGATACTACCATAAGGAGGTCGAGACGGTTAAAGCTTTAAAGCTACGCTCTGCCAATGAAAGGCGTCTGATCCAACCTTCAACAGGGTCCTAAGTCTCTGACTAGACTCTTCTCCTCTGTCGCCCCCCGGTGGTGGAATGAACTTCCAAACTCCCTCTGCACCTTTAAGAAAAAGCTAAAGAGCCAGCTCTTTCATGAATACCTACTAACTTAATGATGATGGTCTCCATATTATTGATGATGATGATGGTAATGACGATGGTTTTTGTTTGATAACGACGACTTATAAGATGGTTTCTATACTGATTAGAGCTCTCAAGAACTGCCCTCAATGTTGTGCTTTGCCTCTGGTCACTTCCTGTCAGCACCTGTGTGTCCAATCAGACTCAAAGCTGATCGTTTGCTCTTACTCACATTGTTCCCTTTTTTCTAGATCCTTGCTTGTGTTGTTCTTACTCTCTGATGTACGTCGCTTTGGATAAAAGAGTCTGCTAAGTGAATTGTAGAAAGCTGCCCCATATCTTCATCAGTCTGGGTCATTACTTTAATAAGAATGCATTTTAAGAGGAAAGGTGAGGGGGCAGTGAGGTCTTTGTGTCTATGTCTGCATTTCTTAGGTTATCAGTCCATCTGTAGTAATATGTGTGTGTGTGTGTGTTTGTGTGTGCGTCAGTCAGTGTGTGGTTGGACAGACTGGTTGTCCTTTGGTCAGACTCTCTTCATGGTCGGCCTGCTGCTGGGATCTCTGGTGGGAGGAGCCATATCTGACCGGTACAAACACAAATACGTTCATACACAGCTGAGTGTTCTTCACAGTGCTGCTTCATCACCGTGTTGTGTTTTCTTGCAGGTACGGGAAGCGTCCGGTGCTGCTGGTGTGTGTGTGCGTGCACGCTGTGTGTGGCATCGTGCCTGCTGTCCTTCCTCAGCCCATCCTCTTCCTCTTTATCCGCTGCCTGACGGGCGTCTGCTGCTGCTGCATCAACATCTGCTCCTTCAGTCTGGGTGAACACAACGTCAACACTAAAGTTTAATTCAGCCTTCAATGCGCCATATTCACGCCCTAACCGCTGTGATGGTTTGCCTCCAATATGAATGTTGAGGAGGCGTGATGGAGGGAAGTATGAGCCCCTGTCTGTACCGTCTTTGGGGTAGTAACAGAGGCGAGATGGAATTGGCCAAGCCAGCAGGGGGGAGCAGTGCTGTGTGTGTGTGTGTGTGTGTCTGACTGTGTGTGTATGTGGAGCTCCCTGCTGTGCCGTGCTCTCTCACCCTATGTGCATTCACAGACTGTAACACTGTTGCAGAATCCATATGAAAGTCTTAACGTGTAGAGACGGCGGTGCTTCCTCACGGCGCTGTTGCAGGAAAAGCACCATTAAAGTGTTAATCAGAGACTTCTTCATTTCTCGCCCGGCCTCTGTGAACTGCTGTTTGCCGGTTCTTCTCTGAGTCTGATTGGACCGCAGTAGGGAACACATCTGATATAAGTCACATGTCCCACATGAAGTCGTGGTGATCCTAACGACTGAAGACAGCTTCCTGCTGCTTTCTGACCTCTGACCTCTGAAGTCAGCTCCAAAGACTCTCAGGACAGTCAGTGATTTTTGACCTGTGGCAAAACAAGAGTTTGTCTAATGTAGAAATGACTAACTCTGTTTTTATGTTTTAACCGTTTAGACATAAACAGTCGCAGGTTTCAGGGTTCTGTGATGACTCTCTGAAGACTCAGTTTTTTGTTAACAGCTGTGGAGTGGACGCCTCCTGCTGCTCGCCTCTGGCCCCCGGCCTTCCTGCCCTTCTGCTTCAGTCTGGGGACGATGGCTGGAGCGCCGCTGGCCTGGCTCAGCCCCACCTGGAGGCAGCTGCACCTGTCCCTGGCTCTTCCACAGCTCATCTGTCTGCCGCTCTACATGTAGGTACACACACACCTGTCTACCTGCACACCTGTCTGTTCATCCTGGATTTAGAAAGAAGTGCGTTTTTCTCTGTCTTAAAGTGCGATCCCAGAGTCGCCTCGCTGGTTGTTGTTAAAGAGGCGGAGGGACGTTCTGGAGCGTTACCAGAGCAACAGCCCTGCAGATAAACAATGTCTGGACCTGGTAAAACAACACACCTGTACTCTACAGTTGATGAGCTCGGTGATATAATCTACAGTTTATATGTGTGTGTGTGTGTGTGTGTGTGTGTGTGTGTGTGTGTGTGTGTGTGTGTGTGTGTGTGTGTGTAGTTGTTGGACTCCACCTGGTCTGACCTGCAGAAAGCCTCCGAGGACCCACCTGAAGGCCACGCCCTCAGTGACATCATCTACCTGAGACACCCGACTGTCCTGCTGCGTCTGTTCATCATGAGCTACCTCAGGTGAAAACACACACACACACACACACACACACACACACACACACACACACACTTAAATTAAGCTCAGATAAAAATTTGAGACGTCAACATGTATTCATCTTCCCATGATGCAGTGCGGTTACGGCTTTGACCTACTTCGGCATCTGTATGAACATCGGCTCGTTCGGCGTCGGCGTCTACTCCGCCCAGTTCTTCTCAGGCCTGTCAGAAGCTCCATGCCTGCTCGTCCCATTGGTTAACCTGGGCCGTCGGCCAATCAGCATGCTCGCTCTGTTCCTCAGTGGATCAGCGTGCTTCCTGTCGTTACTGCTGTCCAGATACAACTGTGAGCACACGCACGCACAGAGACACGCACACACACACACACACACACACACACACACACACACACACACACACACACACACACACACACACACACACACACACACACACACACACACACACACACACACACACACACACACACACACACACACACACACACACACACACACACTGACTCCCACTTGTTGTTTTCAGATGAGCCCGTGTTGGTGATGAGTTTGGCTCTGCTGGGGAAACTTTGTATCCTGGCTGCTAACTTCATCTCTGTTCTGTACAGCATCGAACTCTTCCCCACTGTGGTCAGGTACACACACACACTGTAACACACAAACAGTAACACACACACTGTAACACACACACTGCAACACACACACTGTAACACACACACTGTAACACACACACTGTAACACACAAACAGTAACACACACACTGTAACACACACACACACTGTAACACACACACATACACACACTGTAACACACAAACAGTAACACACACACTGTAACACACACACTGCAACACACACACTGTAACACACACACTGTAACACACACACTGTAACACACAAACAGTAACACACACACTGTAACACACACACACACTGTAACACACACACATACACACACTGTAACACACAAACAGTAACACACACACTGTAACACACACACTGTAACACACAAACAGTAACACACACACTGTAACACACACACTGTAACACACACACTGCAACACACACACTGTAACACACACACTGCAACACACACACTGTAACACACACACTGCAACACACACTGTAACACACACACTGCAACACACACACTGCAACACACACACTGTAACACACAAACAGTAACACACACACTGCAACACACACACTGTAACACACACACTGTAACACACACACTGTAACACACACACTGTAACACACACACTGTAACACACACACACACACACTGTAACACACAAACAGTAACACACACACTGCAACACACACACTGCAACACACACACTGTAACACACAAACAGTAACACACACACTGCAACACACACACTGTAACACACACACTGTAACACACACACTGTAACACACACACTGTAAACACACACACTGTAACACACACACTGTAACACACACACACACACACTGTAACACACAAACAGTAACACACACACTGCAACACACACACTGCAACACACACACTGTAACACACAAACAGTAACACACACACTGCAACACACACACTGTAACACACACACTGTAACACACACACTGTAACACACACACTGTAACACACACACACACACACACACTGTAACACACAAACAGTAACACACACACTGCAACACACACACTGTAACACACAAACAGTAACACACACACTGCAACACACACACTGTAACACACACACTGTAACACACACACTGTAACACACACACACACACTGTAACACACAAACAGTAACACACACTGTAACACACACACACACACACACACTGTAACACACACACACACACACACTGTAACACACAAACAGTAACACACACACTGTAACACACACACACACACACACACTGCAACACACACACTGTAACACACACACTGCAACACACACACTGTAACACACACCACACACACACTGTAACACACACACTGTAACACACACACTGTAACACACACACGCACACACACACTGTAACACACACACTGTAACACACACACAGTAACACACACACGCACACACACACTGTAACACACACACAGTAACACACACACGCACACACACAATGTAACACACGCACACACACACACAGTAACACACACACACAGTAACACACACAGTAACACACACACACACACACACACACTGTAACACACGCACACACACACTGTAACACACACACTGTAACACACACACGCACACACACACTGTAACACACACACTGTAACACACACACAGTAACACACACACGCACACACACGCACACACACAATGTAACACACGCACACACACACACAGTAACACACACACACAGTAACACACACACACACACACACACACTGTAACACATACACACACACACACAGTAACACACACACATTACGTTACATTTCTCACCCTCTCATTACGATCCAGACAGCGCTGTGTGTCCCTCGTCAACCTGTGCTTCCGGATTGGTTGCCTGGTCAACTCACTGGTCCCGCCCACCCCAAACGGAGCGATCTCATTGGC